GTCTTAGGAGATGTCTGTATTTTGTGTGCTCTCTGCTTTTGCTTAACTGGTTCGGGGCAAGCAGTGCGTAGAAGTGCTGGTGGTTTTGTTTCACTTAATTTATTTTTGTTGTTGTTATCGCTGTTATTTTTGTTCCTTTATTTGCTGGGATGCAAGTTTGTTTTCTGAAATGGAAAACTGGGGAAATTGCCCATAAAATGTAGTCAACCTAATTAACGTGTCTTTGAAGCGGAGAGGCTGGTTTTAACTGGAGCCCCACAGAAAGCCACGTTACCTTTTGTAACGAATGAAGGTAATCTAGCTTTTAACCTACAGAACCACTGCTGTCTAACATCATTAGTATTCGATGCAAAACAGAAGTTTTAAATCTTTGTTGGAATTGTGTTTGCCACGTAGATGCCACGTTCATCCTGTTAACACCTGGGTTAAATAGGAACTCTCACGTATTCCATTCTGTACATCTCTTTGGAGAGAACAGTATAAAGTCCTGCAGGTGTTCGGAGGTGTACAAAACCTAGGTCAGTCCTAAGTGATCTTGAAGTCCAATAAATGGGAAATACTCCTTGCCACCGTATTTCCAGTTTTTTTTTTTTTTTTTTTTTTTTTTTTTCCTCCTCAGAAAGAGGGTTGCGGAGGATCGACCACGAAAACCTTTCTGTGGGAATTATTCAGTATCTGACTTCCTTCAGACTCTCTCTGTGCAAGCCAACACACAGTTTCAAAATTATTTTTTTTTTTCCCTTTGTAAGCAACAGTTGCTGGTTCTGTTAAGCTAGAGTAGAATATTCTTGCCTTATCAGATGATTGAACCTACTGTGTTGTGTAAAGAAATCCCATGTAAGCAAAATTGCTTATTTAAGAGAAAGTTAATGAGGGGAATTACTGAAGTATGCAGAGTTACTTGCAGTTTTGCAGCTTACAAACTCATCTGAAAAGCAGAACAGTGTCTTGCAACTTAAAGTAAGACACAGCTCGCTCTATTCATTGCGTTTTAAGTTTTTATTTAACTGCTGGACAGGCTCATACTGTTTAGCCGCTGAACTGGAAGAAATTTTTTTTTTTTTTTTTTTTTTTTTTGCTGATCTGCTTTAGTCAGTAGCCTACCACATGTTTTGTTTTAGAAAGCCCTTACTGACCAAAAAGTTAAATCAGTATAATTCTAGCAAGGGAGATTACTGCATAGGTGATGTAGGTTTTTGTTTGGGGGCTTTGAATATTTCAGAGCTCATGTGGATATCAATTTTTTTCTTTTTTTTTTTCTTTTCACAGTGCTGAAAGTCAAGAAATTTAGCTTGATTTGAAGGTTAGAGACCAAGAATAGGAATTCTGTTTTGGTGAACCACTTTCCTGACCTGGACAAAGCCACTCATCCTGTGCCTTTGTTTTCTGTTTTCCAGAACAGATAATGTGCACCTCCTAGACCCACTTAATATTTAGGAAGCCGTGTGTTTAACATTAATAAGAGCCATTCAACCCATTAAATTCTTAAGATTGTTGGTAACAGGTAACTAACACTTTGCTTGTTCCATCTGACAATAAAAGTTATATGTTAATTGCCGTCTCAATTTTCTCCCTTTTTTTAGAAAATTTCTCAGTTCCCCCAGATGTCACAGCAACTACCTCCTCCTCTTCCTCCGCACGCCCAGCAGCGATTGACCTTCCTCCTTCGGGGATTGTGAAAGGCATGCACAAGGGATCTAATCGCTCTAGTCTCATGGATACTGCTGATGGTACGAAGCTTTCAGAGCGCCCAGAAATCAGAACGGCGTTCGGGCTGAGCTGGGAGGACAGACCACCCGACTCAAGTTGATCCCGTTTAAGCACTTCACAAATTTGAAATGGTTCTGGCACTGGCACAAACCCGTTCTTGTGCCACCACTGGGGCACTGGCACTAACACATCCCCATACTGCAGCAATTACCTGCTCTGTGCTGAGCTGGAGAAAATCATGGGGGAGATAACGGGCTTTTCTCTTCTCTACCACTTTTTAAGGAGAAAAAAAAAAAATTAAAAAAAATTACCAACGCTTAGGTAGGCTAATTGTTTTAAAAGCTTTTGTCCTAGACTCCCCCAAAGGCAAGGTAAGATGAATGAAATCATGTAATTCGTGACTACGATAAGCTGAGGGTGCTCCCTCCGGGCGGGCTGGGGTTGTGCAGAGGGAAGTGCTAGGGCTGGTGGTGGTGCCGTGTCCTCCCCCTGCCAGCTCTTGCACCGGCAGCGCAGCGTGTCAGACAGAGGGAAGGCGCCTTTGGGAGGGGGAAATGCTTTAAACATGAGTTCCTGTCCCTATAGCCTTTCCTGACCGCTGGGTTAAGACAATCCTAATGTCATCCCACCTTTAATAATGGGAGCCAGTGCTTGAAGGAGTGGGCGCACTGAGGGAAGCGTCCTCTGGTGGAAGGAGGTAAGGTGTAAATGTCAACAGAGCTCACGAACACTTTGATTAGACACAAATCTTTCCCTCCAGGTGTTCCTGTGAGTAGTAGAGTCTCCACGAAAATTCAGCAGTTGCTTAACACCTTGAAAAGACCTAAAAGGCCACCCTTGAAAGAATTTTTTGTGGATGATTTTGAAGAAATTGTGGAAGGTAATAGCACCAAATAATATTTTTTTTTTATTAATCATTTATTATAAGTAGACAGACGTGCACAGGCTGAATTTATTGATGCCGTTGCTTTTGAGGCTGACTCTGGTTTGCTGTTTGCAGCTAGCAGCAGCCTTTGTGAACAGGCTGATACAAAACCAACGTCTGAAGTGGTTTGAAGTCATTCACTCTACTGCCGAGCTTTGAGTGGCTTCCTCAACACTAACCTGCTTAAAATAACTAAAACTTATTAACAAAAATATTTTAAATAGATTTTTAAAACCCCCTTCATTTGCTTAGGCTACTTTAATTATTTCCCGGAAGGAAAATAATTTTATTTACCGATAATTTCATTACAACCTGATTTTTGTAAGGTTATTTTTCTTCAAATCAGTGTTACCTTCCTCCCTAGTGTACCGAGTACTTTTAATAGCACCTTATGAGAGGTTCGCAGTGTGGTTTTTCTTTTGTTCAGGCCTTCCTAGGAAGTAAAATGTAATAGGGGTCGTTAAACCTAAAGGCAACGCGGAAAAGCTTTTGTTTTCAGCGTGTCTTTCCAACTTAACCGTCTGTTGATGAGTGGGTGAAGGTGAACCGGAAACATGATTGAATTTTCTTCAGTTCCACAGCCTGACCCAAATCAGCCCAAGCCAGAGGGTCGCCAGATGACCCCGGTGAAGGGAGAACCCCTGGGAGTTGTTTGTAACTGGCCTCCTGCCTTAGAAGCAGCACTGCAGCGCTGGGGAACCACGCAAGCGAAATGCCCCTGTCTGACAGCACTGGATGTTACAGGAAAACCGGTTTATACCCTCACGTATGGTGAGTTGAGCCCTGACTTCCCTTGCTGAACTGCGCCGAAAGAGCAGCAGTTGGTAGAACGCGGAGGTGTCGGTCTTGGGAAGGTATCTGCAGCCACCCTGGGTTTTGAGGGCTTTGTAGACAAACGGTGTCACCGAAACAGAGGACCTGACTGTGGATGGTAAAAGCAGTCAAGAACAGGAATGTTCTCTTGTCTGCTGGGTTGGTTTGGGGTTGTGCAAGTCTCTCTTCTTTGTGTTCTAGGCAAATTGTGGAGCAGAAGTCTCAAGCTGGCCTACACACTGCTTAATAAACTGGGGACCAAAAACGAACCCGTGTTAAAACCTGGAGATAGGGTAATGAGTCTGGGACTGGCTGGTTCTCCCTCTGAAGTCAAAAGAGGGATGGGGGGGGGCTGTAACTTACCACAGACACTGTAATCCTGTTCCTTTAATAGCAAGACTCTTATCCCAGGGACAGGCTATTTGGGAAAGAAGCCTCTGTGATTTTTTTCAGTCCTGCTGGCTGCTCTGTAAGCAACTTCTTGGCTCTGGACTTTGAGATACATCTAAGGAAGAGCATTGCACCTCTGAGAGAAATAGAGAGGTTTAGATCTGTGTTTTGGCTGTGTGTGCATCTCCGTGTACAGGGGCACAGAGGGGGTGCTGGCACTGCTGCGGGGGGAGCTCCTGCACGGATGCACGTTCTGTGGAAGAAAAGAGAGCTTAAAGGCTCCCTGTGAAAAATGCTGTGGTAGAATGGGAAATAACACAAAGGGGGTTTTTTTCTGACTTTTAGTCACTATAGATCTTTACTTGGCAATTTTTCCTTGTATTTCAACTCACAGAACGTTTTTGTGACTTGTAGGTAGCCCTTGTTTATCCCAACAATGACCCGGTCATGTTCATGGTGGCGTTTTACGGCTGTCTCCTAGCAGAAGTCATACCAGTGCCTATAGAGGTACCTCTTACCAGAAAGGTAACGTTGATGGAACTTAGAGGAGTGATAGGCTGATGTGGGATGAAAATCCAAGTCAGACCATCAACCTCAGAAAGTGTTTCACAGCATCCAGCTGCTGCCTTAGCAGCTCTGTACCAACGCAGCGTGCAAGACCTTTGCGAACCTGGAATAGCTCTTTAAAAATGGAAAAAACGTATTGAGCAGGGAGCTGTGCTGAGAGGCTGGAAGTGGTCGATTCCCCTAAAGGCTGAAGTCTTCAGGACAGGTCACGCTGTGACCTGCTCCGTGGCATGGGGGGGGTCTGGCCTCCAGCCACGCTCAGCACCTGCCAGTCCTTGGACTTTGCTGGAGACTGAAGGTGCTGAGTATTTCTGAAGGCTTTTGAGACGCTTTTTGTGAATATGTGCTGAAGGAAATGTTTTCTTTACCCTTACCAGAATTTTTGCAATATTGCCATGTTATTGCTATACCGAGAACTGTCTAAAACTATAAAATTTCGTAAGAGAAAACAAAAGCAAGAGGGTAATGGCAGACATATGGCAAGAGAGGTGGCAATGACCTGGCAGGCTGGTCTGGTGGCACTGTGGGAGTCACAGAGCTTTGCTTTCATTTGTCTGCAACCTGACAACTGCTCTAGCAACCAAAGACAAAATTAAAACTTCGCCCAGTATTTGCCCAATCGGATTTCTTAGCGAGCTACCTCATTTCAGTGTTTTTATCGTTGTGCAATAGAAATTAGTTCCTAGGGAAAGAGAGGCCTTGTTATTGCAGTGTAATTATACGTTTTGCTTTTTTAGCCTCCTGATTCCTCTTCGAAGCATCTGGGCTTCCATTAATGAAAAGAAATGGCGTACGCTCGATGCCTGGGCGCTGGGCATGAGCACTTGTTTTCTGTGGATTTCGCATCCAGTGCCTTTTAGTCTTGCCAATGTAATATTTGTTTTGTACGTTTGGATGAAGAGTTCCCTTTGAGAATCACCACATTTCTCTGCAATCTGTCCCCAGTTACATAATCGTTTCCTTTTTGAACAAAACGAATTGAAAAGACTTGGTACGCAGAAGATGAAGTAGCCCTTCTGCGTTTTTGTGATGGGTTATCGTTCTCTTACGGACTTTTATTGCCCTGTAGGTGTGTCTCCCTTTTCACCCAGCAGCCCTCTGTGCTACATCTCTATCATCTTCCAAAACGTGTCCTGACGTGAGCTTGGCAGGGGCTCTGCCCGTCCCTACCAGACTCTGGTTGTCGTTTGAGTTTCAAACCGTTGCCAGACACTGAATGTGGGGGGAGAAAGAAGAACCAAAGGAAAGAGTCTTTGTGGGCGTAGGGGCTGTTTCTTCTTTTTCCTCCCCGTGTGCTCCACAGTGCTACCATCCAGTTCCCAGGGCGTTACCAGACCTCGGGTTTTGGTAAGGGGAAAGTTGACGTGTGTCATCTTTAAACAGGAATGACGTTTGTCCCCCTCCTCCCTCAGGATGCTGGTGGTCAGCAGATTGGTTTTCTGCTGGGAAGCTGTGGCATTGCTTTGGCCCTCACCACTGAAGTTTGTCTGAAAGGGCTTCCAAAAACCCAGAATGGAGAAATTGTGCAGTTTAAAGGTTAGATTGGTTCTATACTTGCTTCTGGTTGTACTTTTCCCGTAGTTGAACTGTCTGAAAGTCGTAGTCAGACATCTGAATGCATTTAGGGGAGCAAAGGGAGCAGCTTTTCTGACAGCATCACTTAACTGTTGTAGGTTTTACACCATGGTGTAGATTGATCCATGTGTCTGACACAATTGCTTTGTTGTTCTGGAAGTCGCAGTGAATCCACCTCACAAGCCAGGGTTGTCCTCAGATCCCTTCGGTGGCATTTGGCAGGTTCAAAAGCACTTTTATTAATGATACAAGCAGCTATATTTAGAAATACTGCAGGGATCTTTCCTGAGTAGAGGAAGTACCTTGTTGCCCACTGAACTCCCTGATGAGAAACTAGATGAACCTTCTGGCTAGTAGCTTGGCTTGGTATTTTCCTTGTGTAACCGGACTTGGACAAACGATGGGGGTTTAGTATATTCTTGCAGAATATAAATCCCTCAATAAATAAACTGATTTTAATATTCCACTTTAATTTTGGCTCTAGGTTGGCCCAGACTCAAATGGGTTGTGACAGATTCAAAATATCTCTCCAAATCTCCGAAGGACTGGCAGCCCAACATCTCAGCTGCAGGAACTGAGCCAGCATATATTGAGGTAAGTAGTGAAGGGGGAATAGAAAGTAGTTTCCGTGAGCTGAATTTAATGTTCTAATCACCAGAGAGATAATACTTCCACCTCACTACCTTAAACTGCCCAGTTTGTAGCTGCTGAAACAAGTCTTTCACTGTGTACAACCTGCTGTGAAAGCTTATTTTAGTTTTGAATATCTTTGTGGCCTTGAGCGCTGCTCAAAATTAATTGGAGAACCCTGTTCTCGTTCCGGAAAGCCAGTAATCGAGACAACGGAGCTCTCTGAGATAGCGTACTCGATAACACGGATTTTGGAAGCTACTTAAGCATTTTGAGTTTTCTGTTCTTCCCTAGCAGAGCTTATTTCCGTGCGGACGCCTCAGTAAGGCAATTTCGAGGAATCGCGGTGGTTTAGGTAGTAACAGTAATTTGGCTCTTCTAAAATTGCAAAATGGTTTTTCAGTTTACTTATGGGAGCAGCAGGAGATGCGGCGAGAAGCAGTAACAGCGACGTGCACACACATTCAGTTGCCATCTTTCTCCTTCTCCTGCATCTCTGGAGTTAGCTGAGCGTGTTCGCCACCTGAGTAACTGCTCTCGGGGCGAACCTTGGAGTATGTCTCAGCAGCTTTAGAGAAACAAAACTTTATTTAATAATCTGGATTCTGTGATTTTATTTTTTTTTTTCATTTCCTTCACGTGTGGGATCCAGAGTTACGCCCTGATGTCTTTTTTCCTCTCCTGTAGTACAAGACGAGCAAAGAGGGAAGTGTTATGGGTGTGACGGTGTCTCGGATTGCCATGCTCTCTCACTGTCAAGCCTTGTCTCAGGCCTGCAACTATTCTGAAGGTAGGTGATGTCACAGAAATGGCAGAGGAAGGAAGGTTCAGCAACGTCATTTTTAGTGGCTGCCTCATATTTTAACAGCTGTCTGTGAGTAACCAATAAAAAAAAAAAAAAAAAGAGGGGGAGTATTAAAAACCTGCAGATTAATTCTCCCCCAAAAGCGAAGACAGTCTGTAACCTTTTCCATCCAAAACGACATCATTTTTATTGCCATAGTGAAGAGAAATAACAAGCAGGATTTGCATCATGTCTAGAAAGTGAAAAAGCCTGTTCTGCTGAACCCAGAGAGGAGCAGATGAATCCAAAGTGGAACATTGTCCAATGAGATTGAGTCTTCCTCTCACTCTACTTATGGCCCATTAAAATATCTTTCCAAACTTTTGTTCCTGATGCTGTGTGTAAACACCCAAGCACCTCTTGCTGGTGCTGGACGAGTCGCGTGATGCTTTTTGGTGAAGCCAGCTGGAAACTGCTGGTGGGAGCACAGAGAGTTCCGCTATAGGATATGGTTTTGTAAATCGAGCTAATTTATATATCCACGACTGAATATTTTTAGAGCCGTATGTCACAGTACTCCATTACAGGCTGGGATGTCATTCTCTTGCGGCTTTCTGGGATGTGTTCCTTCTCTTAGACTGATGTTCAGTCGTGTTACTTTGCATAACAAGGAGCTCTGACTAGTATCATCAGACAAACAAGGCTCTGCACTTGCTCCCCCGGTGTGTTCCTCTGCAGCAGATCTGACAGTCAAACATAACACAGATCCGCCCATGAATAGTGGTCACAGCTGTCGGGCACGTTTCACTTCAAACTGCAACTTTTTCTTTTACCAGGTGAAACGATAGTGAATGTTTTGGATTTTAAGAAGGATGCAGGGCTGTGGCATGGCATTCTAACGGTGAGTTGAGCCTGTAAAGACTTTCTGAAGCATTTCATAATTCTCGCATTGCAGCATTTGAGAACGGGTAGTGTCCCTCAACCACGTCAAGTCAACCATCTCTGTCCCTGCAAGAGCTGCAGTTCTCTGGGGGAAGTGTAGGAGCATCCTCAGGAAATGTAGATGAATTCCTGGTGAGGCAGGGGTCGATGGGGAGTGAGGGCAACTCCTCTTTCTGCTTGATAATGGGTTTTGTGAGCCCTTTTCTAAAAATCTATCTTTTTTTTCTTTTCAGAATGTAATGAACAAGCTGCATACTATCAGCGTGCCCTATTCTGTGATGAAAACCTGCCCCCTCTCATGGGTGCAGAGGGTTCATGCCCACAAAGGTAACTCTGTTCTACAACTTCAGCTTGGAAGTTCTCAGGATAAATGAGTGAGGGGTGTTAAAACCCCAGACGCCTCAGAGCCCGTCGTCTTGGTCTTCCATGACAAATCTCAAGGGCCAAAACTCTTAATTTCTAAATATACACAAAGTCCTGGTGCCCTTGTGAGTGTCGATGAACTTGTTGGGAACCTCCTGACCTGTGTGCTGAAGCCGACACCTTTTATGAGACCAAACAAAGAGCTGAGCACAGCAAGATTCACTGCTCCCCAGCCCTCAGCGGGGCCGTTCCGGTGGCGATGGTGGTTCCTGTGCGCTGGAGGAGGGGCTGCAGTAGTGACAGACCCTGGCTCAGGCGGTGGGCAACTGGCCTGCGTGCCACAGCACATGCTGTTGTATGTTGGGGTTTGCGGTTACTGCAGGCTCAATGAGTCGAGGAATTTTCTCATTTGAGAGTGGTGGAGTGTGCATTCATGTGAAAATGACTCATGCAAAGCTTTTATTTGTCCTTATACGGGGTTTTTTTGTCTTGTTTTGCAGCAAAAGTTGCTTTAGTCAAGTGTCGAGACTTGCACTGGGCCATGATGGCCCATCGAGACCAAAGAGACGTCAGTCTGAGTTCCCTGCGCATGCTGATTGTAACTGATGGTGCAAATCCTTGTGAGTATGCGCATCCTGCTCTTCTCAGGAGAGGGGGGTGCTCGGGTAGTTGTCTCTTAGGCTCAAGCTTAACTCCTTCCATAGATAGTTCCGAGATTATTTCAGGTAGGGCAGCTGTCTGCTCGCACCCAGCTGTGGGTTGTGGTACGTGAGCACCAGGGCAGGGGGGTTCTGTGCTTTCACCCTGTGAGTAGGAGTTGTGAAAGATACTGTGGAGTAAGAAACGGGGGAGTTGAATGTAAACCAGAACTCTGGTAGATACAGGGAGACTGGTTTTAAACTGCTCACGGGGGATAAGCTAAAGGCTTTTAAAAAGAACTTTGAAGGGGGGGGGGGGGAAAAAAAAATCCCCGGAAAAATCTGTGAGGAATGCTGCTGGTGAAAAGGATTAAAGAATGTTTGTCTAGATGGCACCAACTGGGAGGGATACTTGGAATAGCATTAGACCCGCTTTGATTATCCGTGCTGCGTGGAAACAGACCCTACACACGTGTGCTAATCGTTGGAGGTTTGGAAAGTCTTTTAAGCCTCTTGTTGTACCGTGAGCGTGTGAGAGCTCTGGAGCGAGCTGGGGGAGGAAGGCAGGCTTGCTCAAGAGAACGGGCCTGTCCCCAAGTCACCTTCAGCAGGCGCTGAAGCACCTTTGTGGCTGATATCTTGGAAAACATACCTGGAGTTTTTAGAAGAGATACAGCTATGTACTCTGCAAATACACTGCACTTAAAGAAGTTATTTTACAGACAATCGATAACATCGAATTACCTGAAGTCACAGCGGTGTATTTTCTTTCTTCCCAGGGTCCGTGTCCTCGTGTGATGCCTTCCTGAGCTTGTTTCAGAGCCATGGGCTTAAACCGGAGGCAATCTGTCCGTGTGCCACATCTCCAGAAGCGATGACGATTGCCATACGGAGGTAACGGCCGTGCGGGGCTGCAGCCTGTTGGCTAGATTAAGTGACCCGGGCTGAGATTTGTTCACACGTCGCTTGGTCATAGTTGACTTCAGCATGTAGTGAGCTGCGCTGACATTTACTGTGTGCGCTCAGGTATTCAAGTAGCTGAGTTGTTAAACATTCCTCCTCAGACACGAGTGCTTTTTTTTCCCCCCCCCCCCTCCTCTGAGAGGTGTGACAGCTCAACAGCGCCTGTCAGAACTGCACGCTGCTTTTTCCTGCTCCTGATTTACACAGCTAGTCTGGTATTCTTGAATCTGAGATGAGATTTAATAATCACTTTGGACTGAATTTTCAGTCTGTTTCTGTCTGTGGCTGCCTTCTGTAATAAATAGCCCCGGAATTATCTGGTCTGGGGTAAGCTGAAGAGCTGGAAGAAGAGTTGCCCTCACCCAGGAATACGGTTTCCTACTTACCAATCGATGTGGCTCTTCTGGGAGGCAAAGAAGAGACACTGAAATGTCCCTATTTCTGTTGCTGCAATATCTTCATCGGAGTCGTAATAGCCTGTATGCCTGATGTAGTGTATTGGCTTTGTGTCCCCCAAAGGCCTGGGGTCCCCGGGGCACCGTTGCCCGGAAGAGCCATCCTGTCCATGAACGGGCTGAGTTTTGGTGTGATTCGTGTCAACACTGAAGATAAAAACTCTGCTCTCACTGTCCAGGACGTTGGCCATGTGATGCCGGGAGGTAAAACTGAGCAGGAGTCACCTCTAAGACCTTATTGCGAATGTTTTAGAAAAAAAAGCACGGGTCGGAGTTCTGTCCCACGCCGGCCTGGGCTGGGGAAGGTTGGGCAGCCCCCGCGCGGGTCCTTGGGTCTGTCACAGCTCGGTGTGTCACAGCTGCCACCAGGCCCGTCTCGGGGACTGTCCTCACCATGTGTAATTTGTCCTAGGGATGATGTGTATAGTGAAACCTGATGGACCGCCTCAGCTCTGTAAAACGGATGAGATTGGGGAAATCTGTGTTAGCTCCAGAGCGGGAGGAATGATGTATTATGGGCTGGCAGGGGTGACAAAGAATACCTTTGAGGTATGTATAGCAGAATACATCTCTTCCCTGCGTAGAACCGATAGCCCTGTGTAGTCTCTTGGGTTTGTAACTTAAGTGATAACGTTTTTTTAAAAATACACCCTGAAAAACTCCTCCCGGTTAGCTACACTCAGCGTTCCCCTTTTCTAAGTGCTAGAAGGTGACTGCACCAAGGATTCCCTCTCCTCCTCCTCCTCGCTTCCCTCACACACGGTGCGATTCTGGATGTGGGGAATGTTTTCCTGTCCTCAGGCAAACGCGCTTTGCTCCCAGTGTCGCCCCTTGTGTTGCAGGTTATCCCCGTGAACTCGGCCGGCTCTCCAGTGGGGGATGTGCCGTTTGTCCGCTCCGGCTTGCTGGGATTTGTTGGACCTGTGCGTAAGACGGTTTTTGAGCTCACGTTGCATCTTTTGTTCACGTTAGGAGCCCTCGGGGTTTAAAAGAAAAGCACCTGGGTGCAGAAGTATGTGCAAGGATACTTTGCTGTGGTGAAGAGAGTTGAAAGTTAACGGGTTTGCCTGAGCCAGTAGGAACCCTTCCTCTTCCAGCGTGTCGTTACAGTCCCTTACTGTGGTGCTTGATACATTTTTAAATTGCTAATTCTTCTAAACCCAAGTGTAAGAAGCTTTTTGTATGGCAGTTCTGCTGCCTTGTGCCGGAACGTCTTGTCTTGCCGAGTGGCTCGGTTTAATCATAAACGGTGCGATTTAAAGTTTAATCATAAATGGTTTAATCATAAATGATGTAATTGAGAACAAATCCAATTGTCCTAGCCATAGTTCTGAAATAGGCAAGTCGGAGACGTTTGAATATTTGCTTTGTGTAAGTTACTCACTGATAATCTTTTTCTCTTTCAGGGCAGTTTGGTGTTTGTGGTTGGAAAAATGGATGGATTGCTGACAGTTAGCGGACGTAGACATAACGCTGATGACATCGTCGCAACTGGGTTGGCAGTAGAGTCCATAAAAACAGTTTACAGAGGAAGGTTAGCAAAATAAACCTTGCCCCTCCCCATAAGCCTCTGCATGTACTACAGCGAAACAGGATCTTTAGCGTGATTTTAGTCCCTGTAGTAGCTGCTGGCTGATGCTCTGCAGCAAGGAAGAGTTTCATTAATGTCCAAAGATACTTCCTTTTATTTAGCAGTTGTGGAGATAATTTTCTAGATCCTCAGGCAGGGTTGGAGCTCTAAGACGTAACAGATTTTAAGCCCCCTGTGTCTTGGAGATACTTTTAAAGCTTTTCTTGCGCTGGTGATTTGCCACAGGTTGGAACAGAAATGTGGTAGCAGGTTGAGAGGACAGGGGGCTATGCCATGCAGGGATTTCACCAGAAGGTGGAATTAATCCCTTACCTACTTCACAAAATCTTCCCTTTTGGACTCAGTTTTAATTGTCTAATGTCTTTTCCCTGTCTTTGCCCCCCATGGGTTGGGTTGGGTTGGTTTTACAAGTTCTGTCTTTAGTCTGTTTCCTTGGCTTCCTATTCCCAAGGTGTAAAACCAGGATTTGTGCCAGTTATGGCTCTCGCCTTTCCCTTAGGATCGCTGTGTTCTCAGTATCTGTCTTCTACGACGAGAGGATCGTGGTGGTGGCAGAGCAGAGGCCGGATGCATCTGAAGAGGACAGTTTTCAGTGGATGAGTCGAGTGCTGCAGGTAATTCCCCGTACTTGGGCGGACGAGGGGGGAGTCTGCGCAGTTTCTCAGTGTGTGGCAGATCAGAGGCCGTCAGCACGCCCCAGATGGGAAGAGCACAGGCTCACGATCCCTCTTGGCACGGGGTATTTTGACAGGGTCACAAGCTGGGTACATCTGCTCTGTACAAGCTGTTCTCTTGCGTCCTCAAGGTCCTGGGAAAGTGGCTGCGACGCAGAACGGCGAAGGCTCTGACCAAGTGGTCAGTGCTGTGACTCTGTGGAGACACACAGTTCCCTCTCAGCACTGCAAAGCAGACCCAGTGCTTAAACCTAGGAGTTCTGCTTTTAGTCTGGGATCATGCTGGTGTTTAAAGTTAAGCTTTAACACCGCCCTTATCTTTGGAGATGAATTTTCAGCAGGGAGACAGTAAGCAGAGAAAGGTTAAAACAGCTGAATGAATTTAGTCCTAAGAAAGCAGAATGAGTGGCAAATACTTTGAGAGCTGCCTGCACTGCACGTATGGCGTTCTTGGGAGTGATGGTTCAGGTTGTGAAGTGTGCAAACTGGGGAGAAAAAATCAGGGAAGTACCTGGTGCTCTGAATAATGTATTAGATTCCTGAAAGCTGAGGCGGACAAAAAAGGAACAGAGTGTGTGACGGTTCAGAGGAGACAGATGGATAAAATCCCAAGATCAAAATCATATGATTCATCAAGCAACTGTGTATATTTTGGGATTTTGGTCATGAAAGATTTAAAAATGGCTTGCTTGTATATGAAATGGTCTATAAAGGCAGGGACGCTGACGAGCACTTAACTCTTACGCAGAGCTCCCTGATGGTAGAGGTGGAGAGGCAGCGACTGACTTGCTCCTCCAGTACCTTGTCAGTGCAGGGATTTGTCTCGCGGTGTGTCAGTGCCACCAGAAGCAGCAGGCTGTCCTGCAGTGGCACCAGGAATCCAAGTGACCATCTTTCCTTCCTGTAGGCAATCGACAGCATTCACCAAGTGGGTGTATATTGCCTTGCTCTCGTGCCAGCCAATACGTTGCCAAAAACTCCACTGGGCGGGATCCACATCTCTCAAACCAAACAGCACTTTCTGGAGGGCTCTCTGCATCCGTGCAACATCCTCATGTGCCCGCACACGTGCGTGACGAACTTGCCAAAACCCAGGCAGAAACAACCAGGTAACACAAAGCCCTTTCGTTTAATTTAGCGAAGTGAAGGTCACGATCTCGGACCTAGCGTCGGAGGTGTCACACAGCTTCCTCTGTGTCCTGCTTGTGGGGACCAGAGCTTGTCTTGTGGCCTGTGGCTGGGCCGTGTTTGAGGCCTCTCTTTGCATGTGTCAGTCAAGGAATTTTGATTCCTACCTTTGAACTCATGGGGATTCTTTTTACTGAGGGATAGGAGACTTCTGAACTCTTCTTGGCCAGGAGCTGTGGGATCCTACAGAGAATCTTGGCACCTTTGCTGCCCTGCACGTTGCAGTTCTGGGCCAGGTTCTTCCCATTTGTGTTAAAAGTCCCCGTTTCACGTGGCTGCTCTTTATCACCAGGCGTTGGCCCTGCCTCTGTGATGGTGGGGAACCTGGTTGCTGGGAAGCGTATTGCCCAAGCCTCTGGAAGAGATCTTGGTCAAATCGAAGACAACGATTTAGTTAAAAAGGTAAATCAGTATTTGTTACAGCTAAAGAATGAGGGAGAATTTCCCCTGCGGCTGAACACAAAGCAGCAGCGTGAAGCGCTCTGCGTAGAAGCACTAATATTTAATTACTGCCTCTCTGTTCCAGCACCAGTTCCTGACAGAGGTGCTACAGTGGAGAGCTCAAGCAACTCCTGACCACCCGCTCTTCCTTTTGTTAAATGCCAAGGTACAGTCAGGCCTGAGCTGTTGGGCTTTAAGGTCCACAACATGTTATTTATGCAAGTTCGAGACTCTGCTTAAAATCCTTTGCTCACTCCAGGGTCCTCCGTTTAGTGTCTCTGTCAGATTTTGCCCATGGATTGTAACTTAAAACGTGAATCTTTGAACCTGTAGGTCGCTTCATCTAAACGACTCTCATGGTTCAGTGCTTCGTTTTAAAACTGAGCGTGTTTGTAGGTCCCACTGGTTCCTGTATCATTTAATGGTGTATCCCTGTTGAGTATATTCTGGCAAGGTTCTGGTGCGAGAAGACCTGAACTTGACTCCCTGGGAGGTAGAATTTTCTAGAGCAGATCTAACTCCATCTCTATATTTTGATATTGTGGTGGATAAATGGCTCGTTGAACGCCAGCAGTCTATAGGTATAGATAACTAGTAGCTATAGACTGACACTAGCAAGCAAGTTTGGTTTGTTTTTTTTCCTTTGCGGCGACCATTTTACTGACACGTGTGTTGTGCCAGGCCCTGTTCAGAGCATTTTTTTGTCTCCTTTCAAGGGAACTACTGTGTGCACAGCCACCTGCCTTCAGTTGCACAAAAAAGCCGAGAGAATTGCATCAGTTCTGTGTGACAAAGGACATCTCAATGCAGGAGACAATGTGGTGCTTCTTTATCCTCCTGGTAAGCAAGTTTGAGTAATGGCTGCATCCCGCTGTGAAATGCAGCCTGGGCTGTCTTTGAAATCTCGTGGAGATCTGGAAATACAGGAGGGATCATTGAAACAGCGGTGCCTTAGGGACTGCATAACTCCCTGGCGTAGTTTTGCCTCCGGAGAGGGTTGTCCTAATGCCTTGCAGTTGTAGACTCAAACTTTGTTTCTCTGGAGTTTTGGAAAAGCCAGTTTGTACCTTCTCACTCCTGGCTAGATCTTGCTCTGCCATCGAGGACTTCTGTGGTTATCGAAGATCCCTGGTATGACACGTTCTCCAGGAGGTTGTTAGAAACTTGTGACAGCTCTGGGTGCGCTGGGGAATTGTGCAGGTGGCCCTCCCAGAGGCTCCGCAGCTCCTGGGCTGCTCGGATCTTGTTTGTCTGAAGCCACGTGGCCAGTTGCCAGCTCTTCACCCAGGGAAAGCCCGTAGTTTGCCATGAGAAATGACAGGGTGGCTTCTGGTGGAGGCTGGTGCCGGCAGCCAGCGGTGCAGGACGCGGGGCACGTGCCCGAGGCCACTGGGGGCCTTTTCTGCCGTGGTGGGCCAGGAGTGGCCGTGGTGGAGGCTCCTCTGGCCCACTGGGGCCAGCAGCACCCAGCTTTGCCGCTTGGCCTGAGACGCTCACTGCTAGCCAGAGCTGCTCTCTGGCGGGTGTGCTTCGTGCCCTGCCAGACGGTTCTTTTTTGGCCTGACTGACTTTCGAGCCATTTGACACTCGGGATGTTCTTTTCCTGTACGACGGATTTGATTTGTTGGCGGTTGGTGCTCTGTGCTTTCTTAGCATCCTTGTGCTGCCCTCAGCGCCCGGACTCCGCTGCTGTTGCTGTGGGCTAGCGTGTGAACCTCCAAATGGCAACTGTACCTGGCCCTTGGAGAAAGAGGGGGTCCATCCACCAGTGTCCTCCACTACAGCCTCTCGTGTCCTTGCAGGCATTGAGCTAATCACCGCCTTCTATGGCTGTTTGTACGCTGGCTGCATCCCCGTGACCGTGAGACCGCCCCACGCTCAGAGCCTCACTGCTACGCTGCCCACTGTGCGAATGATCGTGGAAGTGAGTAACGGCGCTGCGGCCCCGGCTGCTTCGCCCTCTCGGACTCCAGTGGTTCACGCAGCTGCCCAGACCCCCCCGCTGTGCGTGTGGCAGCAGGGCCCGGAGCACGTCTCCCAGCCGAGGGATGGAGTTTCCTTTGTGGAACACAAGAGAGAACCGCCTCTCCCTATGTGGCAAGACAAATCGCTGTAAAACAGGGGGGTTCTGACAGATACCGACGTGATGTTACTGCCTAAACCGTCCCATTGACGCTCCTTACTGCTGGGCGAGTGCAAATCCTGCTGTTAGTTCCTTTCCGAGCCCAGTAACCAGGAAAGGACCGTGGGGGAGAAAGCTGGATGTAGGCTGGGCGATGCTCTCACCTGCTCCAAAGCTTCTCACAGGGTTCTTTGCGTTTTAGTCTGCGTTTGAGGTTTTAGCGAAGGGAGAGGAGAGCGCAGTGCGTTGCCAAGGCCAAAGGAATTAATGCAGGTTTGCTGGGGGAAGCTGCCTGCAGGTGGTAAAATACACTCCCTGAACATCAAATCTTGCAATGACAGTGCCACTGGGACGTGCTTTTGTCTTTTTTTTTAGTAAGTATTTATCTTTTTAGGTCAGCAAAGCTGCCTGTATTCTCACAACCCAGACCTTAATGAGACTACTGAAATCCAGAGAGGCAGCTGCTGCTGTAGATGTGAAAACCTGGCCAACCATCATTGACACAGGTGTGGTCCGTGGGCTGAAAAACTTTTTGAGGTTCTGTGCAGGGGTTACCATTGACTTCCGAAGGGACTGTCCCCCATTTCAGGTGCTACTGGATGGCTCTTAATAATCTGAATATTTAGAGAAACTATCCAAGATACAAGCTAGGTCTGACCTTGTTTACTGACATCTCTTCTGCATTTGTTGTGCTATGCATGGAAAATAATTTTATGGAAAAGCCATGTTGCAGACAACTGCTAATTTCCTTAAGACAAGAGCAAATTGGTCTCTTCTCCCTTTTCCTGAGGAATAAATTATTTTCTACGTGAGAACTTTGGCAAGAGTCTTGTCATACAGTAGTCTGTCTCTTTTGGAAAGAGAATTAACAGAAAACGTTATGATCCATCTTGGGCTTTTCGAAAGTTGTGTTCTCCTTTCAAATACCACTTCAGTAATCAAAAATTAACCACGTTTGTTCCTCTCTTGTACAGATGACTTGCCCAGGAAGCGGCTCTCTCAGATCTATAAGCCACCTACCCCTGAAATGTTAGCATATCTAGATTTCAGTGTTTCCACAACAGGCATGCTTACAGGAGTAAAGGTACGGTAAAACGGTTTTAGAAGGTGGGTTTTTTTGGTGTCTTGTCTTTGCCTGATACTCTGAACCACCTCTCCTCTTGCCCTCCCCTAGCTCTCGTAGCTTAAACCAAGACCCTGCTTTCCCTCCGAGCTGTGGATTCACTGCGGACAAGGCAGTGTGACTTTGTGCTGAGGAATTAGTTCCGCAGCGTAGGAAGACCGGGTCCCTGCCGTGGGCATTGGGAGTTGTGCTGCTGCCTCCCACTGGAGAGCTGCCTGTCAGGAGAGCGGCAAGCGATGCGATGGCAGAGCTGGGAGCTGCTGCTTTCCCCCACCCAGAGCAGAATAGGAAATGCAGTTGGCAGAGGAGAGGATAAGAAACTAAAAACTGACAGCCCTAGGCTGGAGGCCGAGCGCCCGAAGCCTTCAGGCAGCAGCTGTCGGTCTCCCTGTTTCCGCTTTCCGTGGAGGGTCCCGCAGTGCTCTGCCTCCCCCTGCGGAAGATAAAGGGAGAAGAAACGTAGTTCATGGAGCAGAGTTACCAAGGCAAACCTGTCTTCATCCCCCCCAGCCTGCCCTGATGAAGTCCCCTTTGATGTCCCTGAATTTCAGCAGGGTTTCTCTGCCTCTTGCCCGCAGATGTCCCACGCAGCAGTGAGCGGCCTGTGCAGGGCAATCAAGCTTCAGTGTGAGCTCTACTCCTCCCGGCAGATCGCCATTTGTCTTGACCCCTATTGTGGACTAGGGTTTGTGCTCTGGTGCCTTTGCAGGTAGGACTTGAGAGGGGGAGAAGGGAAAGATGAACTTTGGGCTGGTTATAAATGGGAAATGGCAGCCCGTGTCCTTAGCTGGTGTAATTACAGACAGATTATGTTGACATTACCAAAATGACTAATTTACAGTAAGGGGAGAATTTGTCTTTGAACTGACAATAATATGTTCCCTTTTCCTGCAGATTAGCAAGATGTTATCCTGTCTTGATTATGTGTATTTGTGCTGCCAAATATTACTGGCTCCAGAATGTTTCTCTTGCTTTTCTTCCTTGATTATACGTTGCAGTAGGGGAGTTTTCGTTCTGTAAACTGTGTGGTTGAGCCAGTTCTCTTCCTTCGCTCTGACAGTGTGTGTGCACATTCGTGTGTGTGTGTGTAGATGGTTATTCTTGTACAGTGAGTTGTATTTTTAAAACCGTGTTGCTGCAGAAGGTGGGCATTGGAGCTATTATCAGTTTGCCTCAGCTGCAGAGTCCCACAACCTGCTTTTGGTCTAGCAGGAATGCAACATGAAAAAATACATTAAATATTAGTTTTAAAGATAACTACGTGCTGCACAAAAGTGTTTTCTTTCTTAATGTTCTTCACAGCGTGTATTCTGGACACCAGTCAATTTTAATTCCTCCTATGGAGCTGGAATCCAATCTTTTTCTCTGGTTATCTACTGTCAGCCAGTATAAAATAAGGGACACTTTCTGTTCCTATTCAGTCATGGAACTGTGCACAAAGGGACTTGGAAACCAAGTTGAAATGTTAAAGGTAAGAAATGTTTCCTGAAGGTTATGTTACGTAAATAAAGGAAACTGGTAGTAAAGCAAAGTGATAGGATTGTTAAATACAACAGTTTTCCTGTTGCACGAGTCGCCAGCCCACAGCTTGCTCAAAAAGCAAAAGCAGCAAAAAGCGTTTCCAGCCCCAGGAGATGAAAAGGGTTGAAGCTGAGCAGCGCTGCAGCGTAGGTAGCACGTTGCTAGTGAGTGTCAGAGAGTGCTGGGCAAACCCTGACGAGAGGACGCCGGCAGCAGGAGGCTGTGCAGGAGAAGTGCTTATGTAAGAGTCTGCAGTGGAGGCTCAGACCAGCACATGATGGAAAGCACACGTTTGCTAAATAGAGGTGTTTTCTCCTTGGAGATAAGAGGAAGGGGAAAAAAAAAAAAAAAAAGCTGCATGAAACGCTTGGGGTGGCTTCTTGCGTGGGGTTTACTGAAACAGTGTCCTTCCATCTGTGAGATGAAGGGCCAGTCTTGTCCTGAAGGTGTCCACAGATTGGAGCAGCTGAGTCGGTGCCTTCGTGATTGTGTCTAGAAATAACGGTGGGTTCTGGTCCCAGTTTTGTTGAAGACTCGGTGTAATCCCAGTAAATGACTTCGCTCTCACTTGGTTTTGCTTTCCATCTATATAAATAGTGAATAACAGATGTAATCTCAGCTGAAAAGCACTGCAGAAGCACGTGATGCCAACGCTCTGTGGCAGAGGAAGAAGCACTGTTAATGCATATTTTGTTCGAGCAGAATTTCTAGGCTCTGGTCAGACACATAAGCACAAATAAAAGCTGAAAAGAAGGAAATAACCTGAACGCAATAACAGGGTTTGTGCTGCATTTCCCAAGTAATTTCCAGAGCTAGAAAGCAAATGTCACTCGGTGTGAGGGGACAGACCGTGGTGCAGTGTGGCAGAGGTACTTAGCACATACGGCCCTTTGCACTCATTTGTGGCTTTTTTTTTGCAGGCACGAGGGATTAATCTGTCCTGCGTCCGGACTTGTGTGGTAGTTGCAGAGGAACGGCCACGGGTTTCTCTCACTCATTCCTTCTCCAAACTCTTCAAAGACATCGGCCTGTCCTCTCGGGCTGTGAGCACCACCTTTGGCTCTAGAGTCAACGTTGCCATCTGCCTGCAGGTAAGGCCAGAAACTCCTGATCCACACCTGCCCCCCCTCCCAGCATGGCCCGACATCTGCTTTGTAAACAGCTGGCACAAGGTTTTAGCAGCTTCTCTTGTTTTCAGCTGCCAGATTATGTCACAGATGTTCAGAGCAGCTGAAACGTGACGTTAGAGAACTGTTTATTTCCATGTAAACGATGGCTCTGCTTGCCCCTGGGCTGATAACTGAGCGCTGGGGCTGCCTCTGAAGCAGCTCCCCCCTTCCCAGAGATGTGTCCCTTACGCTCAGCTTAGAGAGAAAATAGGTGTTTGCTGAAGGGGTTCTCTTTGTGCCACTGCAAAGAAATGTGAATGTGAATTTTGCTGCCAGTAAGAAACCGCTGGAAACGTTTATGAGCTCAGGCAGGAGCTACCCTGACTGCTGTAGATATATTTATTAAAAATATTGGTTAATTCTGCAGGGAACATCTGGGCCTGATCCCACCACGGTGTATGTAGATCTGAAATCCTTGAGACATGACAGGTACAGTAAGTTTCCTTAAACTTATTTAATAACTCTCTATAAAATGTCACGTTGGTACTGAGCTATTGCATCTCTCAGTAGATTTCAGCTTTTGTTTTTTTTTTTTCCCCCCTGACAATGTTTTCTTTACCTTCAGAGTACGGCTGGTGGAAAGGGGAGCTCCTCAGAGCCTGCTGCTTTCTGAGTCGGGGAAGGTAATTCCGTGTTGTTACCCAGGGGGGCAGCGAGGGCAGCTGTGTCACCAGGGAAGGCAGCCCTGTGGCGTGGCACGAGGTGACAGACGGTTACGCTGCTCCTCCAGAAAGTCAGTTTGATTTATGATGAAGCGTCTGTTGATTTAGGAGCATCATTTGCTGAAACAATTGGGAGAATTGCTTCCGTTTACAGTAAATGAACCGTATCAAAAGCGTTCGCTGCCGTGTCCTCGAAATCAGCACGCATTTGAGATTGACTGTACCTGTCACTTCCTTCTTTAAACGGACTAACAGATGGTTCCCAGTAGTTTTTAACACTGAATTCTTCAGAATCAAGATCTAGCAACATTTACAGGCCCAGAATACTTGAGCTTTGTGGCTCTGGAGTCCCGGAATCCACTCACAGGGTTAGCATTCATTCCGTGTGCGTGTCCTGGCGTGTTTTATACCTGGTTTGTAATTTCTGTGGTGAAATCGTGCCTTTGCAGAGGTGAAGGAGAGCCTTTGTGGTTTAGTTGTTCGTGAAGACAATTCATATAAGTATTCCATATTCTTTCTTACGATCTTTAGATTTTACCCGGAGTCAAAGTCGTCATTGTTAATCCTGAGACCAAGGGGCCTCTTGGAGATTCTCACCTTGGGGAGGTGAGTGCAGATTTCTCGCTGCGGGTACCTTCTCCTCTTGTCTGCTGCTTGAGCTCTGTTCTCTCTGTTCGATTATGTAAGTTGCTGGGTGACAGTTTGTGAGTGGTAATGCTTGCAGGCCTTTTTAAGCTGAGTTACTGCTGGAGTGTTCAGAATTTGGCTGCGTTATTTTACTGTCAGGTTTAGAGAAAAAGAAAGGAAGGCTGATTGCACTCTAAATCTTGCATAACTGGCTTCCAAATCTAATTTACATCTTGCTTTCCTTATCTTGATTACACACCAGTATGTCTGATCTGTGCTGATAGATTAGTATCAGGTTTTGGACTTCATATGTTACAAAAATCTGCAGTTTATTTACTCAGTTAATCCTCAGTTTACACTTATTAGGGGAGTAGATCTGCAAGATGCATTTTGAAGATTCGACAGGATATTTGGAGGCTTGAGCTAAATGCAAAACATTTTTGGAACTGGAAAACCTTATATAAAAAGAGAACCTTCTTGTCACACTTATTATCTCGCTTCATTTTAATACTCGGCAGATGCTGCGGTTTCGTAACGCGTGGATCTGTTTTTTCCTTTCTCTGTACAGATTTGGGTTAATAGCCCACACACGGCCAGTGGCTACTACACGATTTATGACAACGAAACCCTCCAAGCTGATCATTTCAACACTCGTCTGAGCTTCGGGGACGCTGCTCAGACGCTCTGGGCTCGGACTGGCTACCTCGGGTTCGTTCGCCGGACGGAGCTGACGGCTGCCAGCGGAGGTACGGCACAAACCACTCTTTTATCTTTGAAACGAGGATGAAGAGGTTGCTTTTATACTCTGCTCCAGCCAAGTCCTGATCCACGTGTCTGGAGACAAGAGACGCTTTGTTTTATCTATCTTTGTTGTCTGTTTTCACTGCATGCAAACCCTTTCCTATCTTTCCAGAGCGCCACGACGCACTGTATGTTGTTGGAGCACTGGATGAAACTTTGGAACTGAGGGGGCTGCGTTACCATCCAATCGATATTGAGACCTCTGTCTCTCGAACGCACAGGAGCATTGCTGAATGGTAAAACAGCCGTGAAAAAAAACTAGCTGGAAAGTAGCAGTGTTTATGCAAAGATGCAGGGTTTAATAGGAAAAGAAAAAAAAAAAAAAAGCAGCAGATTCAGATACTTTTTTTGTGCTACTGTGCACCTCATTTCCCATCTGTAGATCAGAAGAATACTGGGCTGACTGCCTCAGTGTTTTCTCACAAGCCTTAATTCAAATTAGAAATGATTTCCTGCTTTGTGGTGTAAAGAACCGTTTATATTTGGGCCAGCGACAGCAGCGTTTGGTTCGTGTCACCCTGTGATAACGTCTGAACTGATCTTTGACATGTTGGGAGTAGGTGGCCTTGGAGCCAGGTCGTTTGGAGATGGAGCCCAAAGCACGTGGTAAACTCCCATCTCCAGGCAAATCACTGTAAACTCTGAATCTTTACGTTTGTGAAAGCAACTGGGGTTTCTGTTTGATTTTTTTTTTTTTTTAATTTTTTTTTTTTTTTTTTCCCCTTTTTAGTGCTGTGTTCACGTGGACCAACTTGCTGGTGGTGGTTGTGGAGCTGTGTGGCTGTGAACAGGAAGCCCTGGATTTAGTTCCTCTCGTCACAAACGTGGTCCTGGAAGAACATTATCTCATCGTGGGAGTGGTGGTGGTGGTGGATCCTGGCGTTATCCCCATCAACTCCAGAGGGGAGAAACAGCGAATGCATCTCCGTGACAGTTTCCTGGCTGACCAGTTAGACCCCATATACGTGGCCTATAACATGTAACGTGTGTGTGGGGGGAAGTGATGGTCAGAAGCTTTGCGGGACCACTAAATGACAGAGGGTGGCTATAGAAATGAAGCTGGTGAAAATTACTAATACTTGATATAAAGTTTGAGATTGCTGCCACATTCCCTTCATCTCATCCTGCGGCGTTAAGGTCACGTTAACTCCCAACGGACCAAAGGCAATGTGGTAGGCAATGGAAAACGTTTGTAACAGTTTACTGAAATATTAGCTTTATAGAAAATGCAAAGTTTGACAAGTGTGTGAGCTACAAAATTCCTAAGGCCTTTACAGTAGTGTTACTTTTTTCATCTGTTGTACATATTTGTATTTTTATCTAATACTGTTTTAGGATTCTATAAGGGGAGGGTTTATTTAGTTAAGATAATAAACTATTAAGAAAAGGGTCATCAGAGTTCTGCAGTTCCCTACTATATAACGTACTTTGCATCTGTACTGTAGCTATTCGCTCCATGGGATCACGCAACTTATTTAAAATTGTGCCATGACCAAATCAATAACTTACGGAATCTAAGAGTTACTTATTCATATAGATATTTCTTGAATTTAAAAAACAAAAAAAATTGCCTATATTTTAAATATGTAAATATTATTATACATAATTCACTTAGATATAAAATTAACTTGGATAACGATGACAGCTGAAGGTAGAAATTTTTAAGGGCGAGTAACTTTTGTGGTCCTTAGCATAATGACATTTGGTTAGACAACTAATGTGAGTTACACACATCTTCTCTCACCAGTTTTTCTTATTTCAGGTATGTAGTCTTTTATTGCTGGCCAGAAGCGTGTCATAGCGTGTAGAAACCGTTGATTTTTAAGGCACATCTCTCTAAAAGAGGCTGAATTTAAACTGTGACGTGGAATTTGGTAGAAATCGCAGTGCAAGTCCAGAATGCTCAACTGAAATGATGCACCGGAATGACAGCCTCTGCCTCCACCCTCTGTGGCACCTTGTGCTTAAAGCGGGGGGGAAGCTTTAGATTGACACACAGTTAAATTCACTGTTTGTGCAATTCTGTCATTATTCTGTTCAGTTCCCTCTTGTAGAGCCAGAAACACTGTAAAGAGGCTTTAATGTCAACTGGGAGGCAAGCACCCAGTTTTCCTCAGAGCATTCACTGCAGAGAATTGGGTAATTCTGGGGTTTGAGTGCAATTTTTCTTCTACAGGAGGAGGCACAAAAACGAGACGGGGCAATTCTGGTAAACACGTCATTAAATAACTCGGTGAAGATTAATAACCCGGCCTTCAAAAGTACTGTGTGGGTTTTCACATTAGTAAATGCAGAGAAACAGAAGCCGTAGAGTAGGGGGTATAAACTCTCACTGTTGGGAAGCAATTGCACGCCAGGCTGAGGGAGAGACAGCGTTTAAGCTTTGACTCAAAACTACCTTTCTTTCATCTAATACTTTAATGTTTTAAGAGCAGTTAAATTTCTGTGGGTCTTAAGGAAATACAATTTTGGAAGCAATGAGAGCTGATACCAGATACTGCAACGGGCTTTTCTGAGTCCAGTGTGGTACACAGTGTCCATAAACTTGTTGTTAAAATGTTCCGGATTACCTCATTCAAGGTTTCTAGGCAGTTTTAAACAGTCTGAGCTCTGAAGATCCTGTGGCAGATCCCAGAGCAGATCCCAGTGTAGCTGTAAGCAAACCCGTGAAAAACTCCTGCTGCATTCTGTTAGTTCTTCACCGAACGCAGGAGCGTTAAAATTTAGGTAAGAAGTTCCAATTTGATATTTTTGAAAAACGTTTGGTTGGGGAATAGATTTAGAAACTGGAAGTGGATGGCTGCAACTCGCCGTAACAGAGTCCGTTGCAGGTCACAGGTGCACGTTTCTGAGCAATTTCTGTTTGTGTATCACCCCAGCAGATGCAGTTGGGATGGTGTCGTGCTGCTGCCCGGGTGTGAGCAGTGGTTCTGTCGGCAGCAGGGATACTGCCTGGGCTCTTGTGTGTCCTAAAATACCTGTGCATGAAGCCTTTAATCTATTAACTTTTAACGAAGTGGCCACGAAGCGAGGTGTAACTGTGACTCATACAGTTAGTACTGCAACTTACTTAGGGTGTAAAGTGCACAACAGTTGTTCTCCCTCTTCAGCCAGCAAAGTCTTGTTATTACACGTTATGCATCACTTTAATTTTTTTTTTACGTTTTCTTGCACAGCAAAGTGACTTGCAGTTCAGCTTCACTTCATTGTTGCCCATTCCAGAAAAAATTCTGATGGTCTCGACCTTTTTCTTACTCAAAGCTTTAGAGAAATTGTTTCAACAAACACTTGATTCATCCACTGAAGTGGATTTGAAGTACAATTCTAGGATTCTCTATTATCTTCACTTGTGGTTTTTCAGCAGTAAAAAAAGGCATGTATTAATTTGATCAAAGATGCCCAGTACGTGGCAGATTGACTTTCTGAAATGACATTTTTGAATGGCATACTGAATTATTTTGATTTTTTTTCTTTTCCCCTGGTTTTTATTTGGTTAGGTTTCTTACGGTTTGGTGGTTTTTTTTTTTCTCTTGCAAGTTTACTGTGTACTCTTAGTCTTTATCCTGGCCTGTGACATTTCTCTCTGTTGGAGAGCTGTGAGTTTACAGTCCTGCCCCTAGGCTGAGATAACATTCCACTCCCCATGGCCAGGAAGTGACACGGAGCAGCTGGCCACTTTGACTCTATCGAATGCTTCTGTCCGTGTGTGGCACAGTGAAAAGCGATGTCCTGGAGAGGAGGAAGTGTGGAGCTGTGAATCTGGAAGCCCCGATTTCAGACTCCAGCTCTGCTCATGACTTGCCCCGAGGGCCCTTCCACAGGTCATTTCACTCCTTCAGTTTCTTCCTCCGTAGATGAGGACGTGATCTAATCCTTACAACATCCCTGTGAGGTAACGAACTGTACAGCACTAAGTGCTAAGTATTTTTCATTGCTAGCCTCGTTGAGGTTGGGGTCAGTTTGTTCTTCCAAACTGATACGTGATTACTTGGTTGTCGTGGGAGGGCTCTTGGGAGATGCGACCGTTCCTCTTCCCAGCGGTTGCTCCGTATCTTTCCATACAAAACCAGACAGAAATGGTTAACTTCAGAAAATTGGCAGGGCCGCCGAGGTTGCCTGCTCAGGTTCAGAGGTGGATGCTCTTCCACCACTGCTGAGCCGGGTGTTGAGTCCCCAGAAGCAGACTCTCCGTGCCACTTTGACTTTGCAGCGTAGCCAGCTGCAGAAGGCAAATGATTTCCTACCGTTGGCCATCGGATTCCAAGCTGTAACAGCTGCAGTGAAACTTAAAAAAAACCAAAACAAAACCCTAGGAATTCTTAACGCTTTGAACTAAAATATTTTGTATGTCTTACTGTTGATGAATGTTCCCTAAGCAAAATACGTGGGTACAGATAATTTCAAGTCCTTGTTTTGTTAAAATTTGCACTGCATTTCTGATTTAAATAAATGTAATTAAGATGCGTCATACTAACTGTCCTAAAAAGAAGGTTGTAAAAAAACAAGATCAATTTTACCCCTAGATGAAATTTTTTCTTTTTAATTTCTGTCATCCTATTTACCATTGTCAAATTCAGACTACAGCATTATGTAATTATGTATAAAGTTTTTATTTATTTAAAATTAGATTAGATATAAATTTTTAAATTTAACACCTGGCTGGACAGTGTTTCATTAACGCATTGATTGTGTTTCCTTTGTCTTGTGTTAATAAATATTGATGCCTGATTGCTTGCTTAGTTCTTCATCTGCCGTTTCTCTGAAAGAAATTTTTTTTTTTTTTTTTAAGGAAGCAAACACGGGTTAGCATTTATCCTGGTGAAAGGGAGAACTTGTGAGTATTTTTGCAGATATGTTGTGTCACTTGTATCGAGAAGTGTGAGACCTGGAGCTGTGATGAGCTCCCTGTGCTGCCAAGGCTGGGCACAGTCAGTACCTGCAGCTGAAACCAGAGTTACACCTGAGCTCACTCACTGAGGGTGAACTAGATCCAGTTTTAAGCATGGCTTACCTTTATTGAAGAGTTTATTCAGTTTCTAGTTAGAATTCAGGATTGCTGTGTTCTGTTTTGAACTGGAATTCAACAAGAGATTGATAGACTTTAATTCTGCGATTCCCAACAAGGTGGTGAGGGGTTTTGTCCTCTGGAGGGTTGAAGTGACGAGCTGATGAAACTGTGGTGGCACTTGAGATGTAATCTCTGCCGTCTGAAACTTAGCTGTGGAGTTTTTATGAAGAATTATTTAAAAGAACTCGTTAAGGTGCAGTTTAGTACCACTGAGGATGTAATTAATATTATAATCTAACACCAGCTGCTCTCCCTGTGTGTGCCTACTAATGGTTGTATATTTCTGCGTAAAGACTAAACTTAGACACATTATTTCCTACAAATGATGAGTAGGAATTTTACCATGGTTTCTTTTGAAAACATTTCAGTAAATATTTCCTGTATTTTAAAATTATTTCGTTAATATTGGGGAAACATCTTTTAAAAAAAAAAGAAAAAACCCATCTAACTAACTTTAAATGTTCTATTAACCAAGTAAATTGAAACAGCCAGTAAATGTTGCCTTTCCATAAACGCACTTAGAACCGAGTGATCGAGTTTCCCAAGTGTCTGAGTCACAGCTCCAGCCCAGGCACCTTCTCTGGTATCGTGGTGTTCTGCAGCACGAGCTGAGTACTAGTTGTGTGGGTAAAACTCTGCCTAATTCTTGGGAAGACTGACCTTGAGACTGAAGCTTTTCAGCAGCAGCTGTGGAAAGTGTTGTCAGGGGAATGGAAAGAATATTCTGGATTTACCACAGATCTTCAGCTGCGAACAGCGATCAGTTGGACTTGCAGAGCTGAAGTGCTTGGTAAACCAAGTCAGGAGTAGGGAGACTTACAGGGGAGTAAAACGAAAACAAACATTGGAAACTGCAAACAAAACAATGCAAATGTTCTATGTAGCAGCAAGAAAATAGATTACACTAAAACTTTAGTCAAAAACCCTTTCTACTATCATCTTTAACAATTTGTGTGAGGATAACAGTCAGGAGATGCTAAAAACCACGGGAAGGGTTTCCGTTGGTATCGATGATTACCTGAGGGTTTTGTGTCTTACAGGAAATACTGCATCTCCTTCCCCTGGCCCTAAACGGTGCTGTGAGAACAAACCTGGTGAAGAGGGGTTGTCACCCCGTTATTGTGCTGCTGCTTCGAATGGTTGTTAACTTTTAATTAAGAGGGGAAAAAAAAAAACCAAAACAAAACAACAAACAACATTCCCTCCCGTCCTGCCAGCCTGTGAGGAATTGCAGCCAAAATCCTCCCCCCTCTCTTCACATGTTTGACCTTTGTTTAGCCCGGAGCAGTGGCTGTGCAATGCCTGGAATTCCTTTTCACTAATACAGCTGTTCTAAAGATTAAAAATAAAAGCGAAGCAGCTCGAGATGACGGAACGACCGTCCCGCCCCTGCCCTGCAAGGCCAAAACGGGCCTTTGGCGGTTGTAAAAGCCTCCCCGCTGCCCTTCGGCTGCCGCCTGGCGCTTTCTCTCGGAGGTGGCTGCGTGCAGCCGCGTCCCGCCCGAGGATAACGGGGAACGTTTGTGTC